AGGGGACCCAGGAAGGGCAGGGTGGGATGGGATGGCTGGAGGGGGGTGTGGCAAGAGGGGGGTGGTGGGAAGAGGGGTGCTAGAAACCAAATCACTGGAAGGGCTGGGATTTAGGGCAGTGCTCATCCTAGAAGGAACTCGCCAGAACAAAGGGAGGGTCTCAGGTTTCTAGGTGGCCCCTCTCCCAGGGAGCGGGGATGTCACGTCACAGCTGGGGTCCAGGCACAGGGCTGGAATGCAGCCTGAGTTCAAGCCCGGCCATGGACTAACGTACAGTGTTTTCCATGCTGTGTCTTTCTGCTTTAAGGCTAATAACGCCCCACCTCTTCAGTGAGGGAAGGCTGAGCCCCCAGGGAGGGCCGGGGTGGTCGTACAGCTCATGGCACCACGCAGCCCCCACGGCCTTTATGTAGGGGTGCTCCTCCCCTCCCCTTGCTTCTCAGTCCTTCCTGGAGTCACCAGAGGCCACCCCTGCTCCCCTCCCCCGCCACTGTGACTGTCTCTGTCAATGACAGCCTGTTGTTGGTACCAGCTGCAGGTGACAACCTCCTCACCCCCAGGGCCTCCTCCATCATTTTGTTACTTTTTAAAAAATAATTTTCAAATTTTTGTGGTTAAAAACACACACACATAGACGTGGTTAAGATGGATGATAAATTTTAAGTGTACAGGTCAGCAGAGTTAGCTATATGCACATTGCTGTGCATTAGATATTCAGAACTTTTTCTTCTTTCAACGCAGAAAACTCTGCAGCTCTTAGACCCCCGTTTCTCCCCTCCGCCCAGCCCCCCGCAACCACGGTTCTACTTTCCGCCATTATGAATTTGATGACTCAGACAAGTGGAATCATATAAGTATCTTTGCTTTTTTGTGACAGGCTTATTTCACTTAGCGTAATGGACTCGCTTCATTCATGTAGCATGTGACGGACTTTCCCTCCTTTTGAAGGGTGAATAAAATTCCATGCTACGGATAAATCATATTTCTTCATTCATTCACCCATCCGTGGGCACTGGGGGTGCTTCCCCCTCGTGGCTATTGTGAGTAATGCGGCAGTGAACACGGGAGTGCCGATACCTCTTCAATATCTTGCTTTCGATTCCTGCATCATATGGTAATTCTCTTTAATTTTTTGAGGAACCAGAGTACTGTTTTCCATCGTAGCTGTACCGTCTTACGTTCCCACCAACAGTGCACAGGGGCCCATTTTCTCCACATCCTCGCCAACATTTATTTGTTTATTTTTTGGGGCAGTGGCGGTCCTGATGGGTGTGAGCGATGGCGCACGGTGGTTTTGTTTTTGTTTTTGTTTTAGTTTGGTTTTGGTTTGGTTTTGATGATTAGTGATGCCGAACATCTTTTCATGTGTGCGTAGGCCATTCGTATATCTTCCTTGGAGAAATATCTGTTTAAGTCCTTTGCCAGTTTTTAAATGGGATTGTTTGTTTATGTTGTTGAGTTGCAGGAGTTCTTCATGGATTCTGGATATTAACTCCTTCGGGTGTACGATTTGAAAATATTTTCTCCCCGTTCCATTGCCTTTCAGTCCGTTGATCACGCCCTTTGACGTACACAGGTTTCTTTGCTCTGTTTTCACACCTGCTGCTTCTCATCTCTGCCCTCCATGGCTGCTGCTGGTTACCAGTAAGTTGCATTTCCTCTATAGACTGGTCGTAAAGAAAGAAAATTAGATGTTCTTTAAGAATTCTTATGTCCAGACTTTATCATTTCTTTTAGTAATTCCCTCCGTTCGTTCACTTATTCATTCAACAAGCAGGCGGATATGAGCATCTTCGCTGAGCCATATCCCGTGCCAAGTGCTGGGAATACTCAGCCAAACGAGTCAGACTTGTCGTGGACTCACTGCAGCCCGCCTCCTCCGAGATGCCTTCTCGACTGGCCCTGGACACTGGGCGGCCTTGCTTCTAAGTTCCCATCACTTAAACATCCTTCCAGTATCGCAGGCATCGTGTTGTTGTGGATTATCTGCATGTCCCCCGCGACCGTGAATGCTGACTATCCCATCCCATTCGTCTTCGTACACTGCAGTGGAAGATGCCACGTCTCTCCAGGTAGCCGCTGATGGGACACCTGTGGGAGCCGTGCCAGGCTACCTGCCATAGGCCCCGGGGCCCAGCCTTCCTGAGCTGCACGTTTCCTTCTGCGGCGAGTCCTAGGGCCTCGCCCTGCTCTCTCCTCTTTTTAGGGTCGCAGCTGCTCATTCTGCCCTTGGGGTGTTGCTCCCCCTCGACTGAATTTACGGTGACCTGTAGCCACTTTTCACTCCACTCCAAGACAGGCCCGCAGATGACTGAAGTACCACTGGGAAACACACTAGGGCCCCTTCTTGAGACCTTAAGTAGAACGTTCCACAAGCGTGGCTTACGCATTTTGTGGGAATCAAATCTCGCTGTGCGTTTCAGCTCTCCTTTCGTCTACCCTGCCCCATGATCTCGTTCCAATTTCATGGGGTCACACAGGCTCTCTGGCTCCTGGGCAAGACAGATAGGTACGACTGGGGAGTAAAATACTGCAGACAGACACCATTCATTGAGGGGGCTCAGAGGAGGGGCTACCATCCCGGCACAGAGGGGAGCTGAGGGAGGCAAGGCGTCCTGGAGAAAATAAGCATTGGATTTCAGTCAGGAGAGGTGCAAGTAGAAGCTATCTAGGATGAACGGGGAGAGGGAGCTGGCGGGGGTTGGGGGAGTGAGTGGATGGGCTAGAGCGGCAGAGAGCGGGCTCTATTCAGAGGAGCATTGTCTAAAGCGATGGTTCTCCAAGTGCGGTCCCCAGGCCAGCTGCATCGACATCACCTGGGAACGTATGAAAAATTCAGATTCTCGGGTCTTACCTGCGACCTACTGACCCAAACTCTAGGGGTGGGTCTCAGCCCTCCAGGGGATGCTGATGCTCACGTGTGAGAACCGTGGTTAAAGGAATAGGGAGGTCGGGGCCACGTTTTGTGCACCTCATTCTCTAGGGCTGGAGGTGGGTGGCGGGCAGGGAGCGATGAGATGAGAAGAGACAGAATTCCAGTCCATTTGGAGATAGGATGGCGCCTTTGTTATTTATTGACAGGTTTGTTGAGCACGTACTTGATGAGGTCGGAATGCAAAAATGAATAATTATAGTTTGAGATGCATGGACATGAAGACTCAACACACCAAAATTTATGAGATGCAGCTCAAGCAGTACTTAGAGGAAATTTATAGCAGTGAACACCGGTATTAAAAACGATGAAAGACCTCAAATCAATGACCTAACCTTCCATCTTAAGATGCTGGAAGAAGAGGAAACTAAATTGAAAGAAAGCACAAGGAAAGAAATGAAGATTAGAGAGGAAATTAACGAAACAGAGGCCAGAAAACAATCTAGAAAAATCAAATTGCAGGGCGGACGCTTGGGGCGGGGGCAATGGTGGCATTTCAGGCAGAGAAGACATGCGCGGAGACGCAGGTGTGACACGGCAGAGGCAGTGATGAGCTGCGCGTGTGACTGAGAAGTGGGGTTCGTGGGGTGGTGTGGGAGATGGGCTAAGGAGGTGGGTCACAAAGGCCCTCGTATGCCACCCAAGATGGGCCTGTGGCCTTCAGGATCGAGAGGAGTGTGTGGGCGAATCACGTGGCCGCGTCTGGCATCAGTGTCGTAAGGGCCCCTGTGCGTGGGCTCAGCACCCTGGGCTCAGCACCCGGTCCTTTCTCCTCCAGGCTTCTGGGTGGAGCGCACGGCCGTGCACGAGGCCGCCCAGCAGGGCGAGGCCCTGCGGCTGCAGCAGCTGATCGAGAGCGGCGCCTGCGTCAACCAGGTCACGGTGGACTCCATCACGCCCCTGCACGCGGCCAGCCTGCAGGGCCAGGCGCAGTGCGTGCAGCTGCTGCTGGCCGCTGGTGCCCAGGTGAGCCGCCTTCCCTTCGGGACACCCAGCAAGACCGGCTGTGGCTGTCAACAGGGGTGGGACCAGCCAAAGGGACAGTAGAGGGAGGAAAAGAAGGGATTGGGGGTGAGTCTTCTGTGATTCGCAAATGCTCAGAAATTAAAAAAAACCACCGCAGGAGACTGAGGGAAGGAGGAAACGGGAATGGGGTCTGGTGGGAGCCGCAGGCCGGAGGGGCCGTCTGTGTCAAGTGCACACTAAGACCAGTAAGTGTGGTCATGGACTTGACTGGTCGGGGTCACTGGGTGGGCAAAGAGAAGGCAGTTTTAGCCAAATGGTGGAGGGGACGCCCTTGGCTCAGGCAGCAGGGTGACTAAATGGGGTGCTGGCACACTGCTCCCTAGAAGAAAGGTAAACAGGAACAAAACGAGATTCTGATCTGCTTGGCTGCTTCCGCTGGTGTAAGTAATGCCACGCGATCTCAGCCGCCGGTGCTTTCTGGCTGGCGGAATTGCTGGATATTTGACAGTGGGCTGGGCGAGCTGACTGGACACCGCTGGGCTGGGTGGTATCGGGGGAATGCAGGCTCCAGGGTCAGGGTTCAGGGTGCGGGACAAGTGACAATGGTGAACTGCGTACCGCTTCCCGAAGCTTGGCCGTGAAGGCGGGTCGAGAGGAAGGGAACAAGGTTTGGACAGATTCTATGCAGCATCTGCCAGCTGGGGAGCTGCCTTTCCCCGCCCTCTGATTTCCCACCCGGAGGGGGCATGTTAAGCAGTTTCAGACACGCCGAGCTGAGGCTGGCATTAGAGCCCGTCTTTATGCCCTGCCTTCTTCGGCTGGAACCTGGAGCTCCCCTCGCCTGCGCTGTGCATATTGGGTGCTGGGGTGGTGGCCAGATAGGACGATGCGTGTCCTTTGGAGGCTGGTAGGCGGCCCCAACCCAGGTCCCTTTCTGTCTGAGCGCTCCGTGCCCGCGTGGCTCCTCAGCACATGCTAGAAAACCTAAGAACTTAGAAAGACTGAGGAGTGTCTTACGTGCATCAGATTGAAAAAGCGAGCTTTCCTCTCTGCCCCGTGACACCTGTCTCTTCCTGCCCACGAGGTGGACGCTCGGAACATCGACGGCAGCACCCCGCTCTGTGACGCCTGCGCCTCGGGCAGCATCGAGTGTGTGAAGCTCTTGCTCTCCCACGGGGCCAAGGTCAACCCCCCGCTGTACACGGCCTCCCCGCTGCACGAGGCCTGCATGAGCGGTGAGTCGGGCGGAAGGGAGCCATGTGGGCAGACGTGGAAGCCATCGGCTGGCCCGGGATTGCTCCTGGTCTGTATCGGCTCTTGGTGGCTCGGCCGCGGGGGTCCCCAGCTCTCCCCCTGGAGACTCCTCGCCCAGGACTGAACAGGATTCTATGCTCAGCAGACACTCGGTGCCTTTCAGACACTAACACTGGAGACCGATCCACGCTGCGGCCTCTCTCAGTGTTCACTGTCATTTGGCCCTGTGGGCCCCTGCTCTAGCTGGGGGACGAGACCCAGACACATCCCTGAGGACAGGGGAAGCTGGTCCTGCAGCGTCGGGGAGCAGGTGGGGTTTCAGCTGCCCTCCTCGGATGGGCGGGCTTGGCGATGGTGGGAGGGGCGGAGGAAGGCCAGGCGTGTGGACCATGACGTCCGGTCTCACTGCGTCAGAAGCTCCTGGGAGATAAGACTGGAAGTTTCAGATGCGCCCAGCTGGCGGACACTTTTTAAATGACACACCAAGGGTTTCGGATTGTACTCTTTTGGGCAAAGGCGGCGAGCCTGTGGCCTGTGTTTTGATGGGCCGGCATGGCGTTTGTCTTTGTTGCACTTTGCTGGGGTGTGCGGTGTGGCCTCTTCCGTGCCTTCGCTCGGGGCCCCTGTTGGCAGCTGCCTCACGCCCCAGTCCTCCCGATTACGTCATCTGTCACCACCCACGGGCCCTGGGGATTGCTACAGGCAGCTCTTGAAAGTTTATGAACAGATGCTGAATGACAAGCAAACAATATTTTTCAGGGTTAATTTAATGGCCATCTGTGTATAGTGTAGGGGAGGAAAAGTTTACCTACCTTAGGGTCACTGGCTGGGCCCACCCATTAGGCTGACAAGGGACTGATTAACCAGCAAAAACGGAAGTTTCTTGATGAGGGCAGGGCATCGCACACACGCACACGAGGACTCGGCGATGTGTCTGCCACGCACTGCAAGGGGCGGTTAGGACATGGGCTTACACAGAAATGACAAGACAAAGGAAAAAGCTTCTAGGATGGCAAGTTGGGGGAGGCAAATATATGGGGGCACTAATGGTAGACGGGGCTGGTTTTAGCAGCTGCTGGTGCGTAACTTCTGTCCTTTCTGGTAGACAGGAGAGGGGGACACTTTACAAATATATGTCCTACTTTTAGGCAATTTGGGGGAGGGCAGAGAGCTTTTCTTCTATCTGTTTCTTCTCAGTTGTCTTAAGCTCACAATAAACCTCATGTCAACGTGACATATTTCGGGGTGGCGTGTTCTGCTACTCTTCATGGTGGTGCGGGGGGGGGGATGCCCGAGAAGTGGGGGGTGAGTTGGCACATCACGATGATCCAAACGCAGAGCATTAGAGCCTAAGTGAGACGGATTCGTTTAGAAAACTCCGAGAAGAATCGACGGGCTTCGATGTGAGGAACAGGAGAGCATGGCGTCAAAACCGACTCAGGGTTGAGCGGGGAGTGTGGCCAACGGCTGACATGCACTGGCCAGGAGGACTCGGGGACAGGGAGGGGACAGGGAGGCCTTGGTAGTGGTCCAGATATCCAAACGCGAATGACCAGCAAACGGCTGTAGATGAAGGGCTGGGTCTCAGGGCGAGAGCTGGAAACGCGTTAGCTGCCGAAAGGAAGCTTGATCAAGTGATGAGGAAACATGGAGTCTCGTCACGATAGAGCGCGACCCTAACCTGCACTTAAGACACCTGGAGAGGGACCAGGGGAAGAGGCAGGAAGGCGTCTGTGGGCTGGCAGCCCCGTGGTTATAAGGTCTAGGTAGTTCACCCAGGAGACTTAGACTGGGGATGCCAGCAGGTTTATGTCATGGCCTCAAGGCTTGATGCTCCCAGCACATCTAGGAGGCTTGGAGAACCGCTGTGCCCTCAAGAGAAAGGACAGGCATCTTCTTGCTCCCTAGGGCCACGTGGAGTCATGAATTGCTCTCTTAGGTGGGGACGTAGGCTGGTTCCCCTCGCTCCCCCGCAGCCAAGCATGGGGCTTACCAGCCAGTTTTGTCACGCTCGTCATTTCAAACGTATATGTTCATTGACAGTTTTCATTCTTTTCTATTTCTTTGAAGGAAATTCTGAATGTGTGAGGCTCCTTATTGATGTTGGGGCCAATCTGGAAGCACACGATTGTCATTTTGGGACCCCTCTGCATGTTGCCTGTGCCCGGGAACACCTGGACTGTGTCAAAGTGCTGCTCAAAGCAGGTGCGTTGTGTTTACCTGCACTGTGTGCCAATGGAGAACTGGGTGGTACAGTCAGACGGCCCAGGTGTGAAGCTGGCTCTCCCACTTGCCGGCTGAGACTTGGGCCTCAGTGTCTAGATCTATAAAATTGGAAGAATAAAAGCTATTTTGCAGGTTTCTTGGGAGGATTTGTGATAATGTTTCCACAGGACCTGGTACGTAGTAGTGCTCGACAAATGCTAATAATTATTTTTAGTGGCCACAGGGAACCATCCACAATACCTACCTAGTAAAGTTTCTGTCTAAATCAGGAAGAGACGGGGGTCCAGGGGAAAATGGAGTTTGCAGCATTTGGAATCCAGGGTGTTGTCCAGTGCTCTAAAAATGCATAGTACTTCCAGTCGAGATGACGGAGTAGGTACACTCTGTGCTCACCTCTTCCCATGACCACATCAAAATCACAACAAATTAGAGAAGCACCATTAGTGAGACTAGCTGAACAGAACCCCTGTAACTAAGGACACACAGAAGCAGCCACGTTGAGACTGGTAGGAGGGGCAGGGACACAGAAGAGGCAGGTCCCACACCCACATGCAGTGATAAAGAATCTGGAGGGACATTATAGCTGTGGAGGTCCTCCCTGGGGAATGAGGGGTTCCAGCCCCACATCAGGCCCCCGACTCAGGGCTCAGTGCCAGGAAGAGGAGTGACAGCCAGCCTCGGCTCACAGTGTGGGCTTTCCCAAGCACCTCCAACGCCAGTACAAGTGGTAACCAACCGCAGATAACTTTGCAGCCCCCGCCAGGTGGCCGCAAGCTGGGCACGAATGGTGGCTGACCTTGGCCTACACTGGAGTCTATCCCAAGAGACTACAGAACCAACACACCCGGGGGCTGGCTTCAGACCACACCAGACCACCCAACCAGCTCTACGAATGACACACCCGAATGGCAGACTCGGCTGGCACTATAGCGTCTCTAAAGTGACTCCCACTCCATGAGGTCAGCCCCCACGTAACAGCTAGTCTGTTGTAGTCATGACCAGTTCTCAAAGCCAGTCAGTCTTAGTGTCACCCCCAGCCATCGATGTACCAACAGCAATCAAGGCTTAGCTACAACAGGAGGGGACCCAAAGACCATACGAGGGACATACCTGGCACACCTGGCTCAGGTGAAGAGGGAGAATGCACCAGGCCTCACAGGACACCTACTACATAAGGCCACCCTGCCAAGACTGGGAGACATAGTTGCCCTACCTGTTACATAGAAACAAACACAGGGAGGCAGCCAGACTGGGTAGACAAAGAAATGTGTCCCAAATGAAAGAACAGGACACAACTCCAGAAAAAGAACTCAACAAGATGGAGGCAAGCAATCTACCAGATACTGAATTCAATATACTGGTTATAAGGATGCTCGATGAACTTAAGGGAAGAGTCGATGAACTCAGCAAGAACCTCAACAGAGATAGAAAACAAAGAAGAACCAGTCAGAAATGAAGAATACAATAACTGAAATGAAGAACACATGAGGGAATCAACAGCAAGCAAATTAGATGAAGCAGAAGATCGAATCAGTGATCTAGAAAACAAGGTAGCAGGAAACACCCACTGGAACAGCAAAAAGAAAAAGAGGATAGTTTAAGGGGCCTCTGGGACGACAGCAAGCGTACCAACATTCGCATCAGCGGGGCCCTGGAAGGAGAAGAGAGCGGGCAAGGGACTGAAAGCCCGTTGGAAGAAATAATGACTGGAAACTTCCCTAAACTGGCAAAGGAAATAGACATACAAGCCCAGGAAGCACAGAGTCCCAAACGAGATGAACCGAAAGAGGCCCACACCAAGACAACTCAGAGAAAGACGAATGCCGTATGATGACACATATGAACTCTAAAAAAACAAAATAATGAACAAATAAAACAGAAAGAGACTCATAGATACAGAGATCAAATGAACAGTTGCCAGATGGGAGGGGGGTTGGAGGGAGGGGTTAAAACGATAAAAGGATTAAGAAGTACAGATTGTTACTAGACTTGCTGAGGTGATCACTTCATAGTTATATAAATGCCTAATCGCTATGTCATATACCTGAAACTAATATAATACTGTATGTCAACTGTAATTAAAAAAATTTTTTTTAAATAAAAAAATAAAAAATGCTCAGGATAGAGAAGTTCTCAAGATGAAAAAGGCAAGCAAGATAAAGAACAACGCAGCCAACCGAAGTTGGATTCAGGACCTGTCCACTACAGGAGTTTTACCATGCAGCCAAAGAGGGTATTGACAAGGAGTTTTCACTATGAACCCAACTTAAATATTTTGTTGAGAAAAAAAAATTTAGCTCATCTATTCTGGATAAAGCTTAAGATAACAAAACAAAACTGTTCAGAAGGATTATGAGTTCTCTTAGGATGATGGTCACTTGAGCTTAAGTTCCATGTAGTTTCTTAGGAGTGAGTCTTATTCACTTTAAAGTGTCGCTTTTAAGTCTTTTCAGTGAAAAAGACTCATTTTGTGTCAGGTTGGTCATGGGAGCAGCTCTTATTTTTTATGCAATGACAAAATATCTACATTAGAAACCATCGTAAGTCTTCCATTCCAGCCAAGTCACTCATCAAAGGATTGGTCCCATGTGTCAGCCTAGGTAGGGTGTCTACCTATCATTACTGCTGAGCTTTTAAAATATGGGTTTCACAGCGCACCAACCCTCTGTACGCGCTCAGTACTCCCTCGTTCCACGGTTGTAGCTCCTTTTGTTGCGTCTGTAGGGGGAAGGGTCAAATTAATGGTGTTAATCCCAATATCCTCTCTGGATTAACACTTTAGAGGTAATTTCTCCTTCGTGATAGGAGGCCAGCTCCACCTGGGTGAGGCGTTTAATTCTTGGTTCGGGCAACTGAATGAACCAGAACGAGAGCAAGTTTCAGAGTCAGTTTGCCCCAGGGGTTCGACGGTGTCATCAAGAATGCACGTCCTTTGAATTTTGCAATTCTGCTGTCCTAAGTGTTCACCTGACCACATGCTGAGGTGGCTGAAGTCAGATGCGTCACCTCCTGAGGTTCCTGGTAGGCTTCCCCCTCACGCCTCCCATTATGTCCCATTGGCCTTAACTGGGCCCCATGTCCAAACTGCTGTCAAATTCCTATTGGCTCGGGCCTGAGTGGGAGCAGGGGTGAACCCAATCAGGGCCCACACTGGATACTGGTAGTTAGGTCATCCCGCCCACCCCCACCCCGGGACCACGCCCGCGCCGCCGGGCGGGTTGGAAAGGCGTGAGAAGGTGACTGAATGTCCATCTAAGCCTGAAACAGGGGACCTGGTAGATTTCCAAGTGAGTTTCCATAGATCTGGGGCACTGAATGAGGGGTGGAGAGATCCTCCTGGGACAAGCATCCCCGATGTGTCAGTGCCGTCTCACGATGCCGGCTGCCACTGTGCCGTGGACTCGGGGTTCCATTCTTGATTACTACTCCGACCTCCGACGGCCTCTGACATTCCTTCGTAGAGTACATGCAGTCTTTTTCTTTTTTAAGGAAACTATTTTTATTGTAATTCTTTTCATTCCAGAAAACTCTTTTTTTTTTTTTTTTTCTTTTTAACTATAGGAAAAGTAGAGAGAAAAGGACAGCATATGGATTCTTTTTAAAGCAACGATTCTCAGCTTTGTGCGGGGCTGGTCACAGACCCCTTGGAAAATCGAATGAAAGCCACTGACCACATCTCTAGAAAAATATGCTCGTGATTTCAGAGAGGGCCGGGCCCTGCTCTTGGAGCCGAGCTGTAGGGGGCCAGGGTGACTGCAGGGGCCGATACGGAGGCTGTCTGTCTTCTGGAGCAATGAGGCCCAGTCCCCGAGCTGCTTATGATTTTCGCAGAGGAGGAGGTCTGGGGAAGGGGAAAGTCCCATTATTACGGTGGGGTGATTTTTAATCTGATCGCCGGCAATAAATATTTAACTCTGCTGTAAGCGCTCAGAGCAGCTGATTGAACAGTGAGTGTTTGCTTCCCCCTTCCCAGCACGGTACTTGTTGTCACGCGTGTCTCCGTTATTGTGTCAGCCACACGGAACTGAGCTGTGCGTGTCTGCTCTGCCAGGGAACTATGCCGGGGTCTTGCTGTGCTGAGCTGGTTGGTGACAGTCCCTCCTTGTCTTCGCTGGCTAAGGTTTAACTCTGAGTCCACTGCAGTCCTATTTTGCTTTGAAAGCAGGATTTCGATAATGAGCAGACTTTGGCCCCTTTTCTCTGAACCATGAAGCTGAGGATACTCAGTTCCCAGATGCATCAGCTGTTTTGCTGACTCTTAGGCTCTCTCTCTCTCCACACTCAGTTCAAGGTACATTACCATCCTTAGTCCACACAACGCCAGTTCCCCCCGCTTCTCCCTTCTTTCCTCCGCCCCCCACATCCCACCATCTAATGTGTATCTGTATGTGTTTTTGTAAGATGCACATCGTCGCTTGTGGCATGTATTTGTAATGGACATAAATGGTACTGTGTTATAGATCTTACCCTATTTCCTGTTTTTTGGGTTTTTTTTTTTTTCCGCTCAGCCCTGTTTTCAAAACCCACCCATGCTGCCCTGTGTACCTCTGGCCCGTTGTTCCCAACTGCTGCAGAGCGTGCCAGCTTTCCTCTCAGTCACCAGTCCTTTCTTTACACCCAATCCAGTGATGCCAAGAACATGTTTTTAAAAGATCCCGTTTGGTACCCTCTGGAAAGAGTTACCCCATAGAGGCCTTGTCCACAGAGAAAGCACACTGAACGGGAAGGAAGGGAGGTGTCTTCTGTAGGGCTATTTTCAGCCATAGTTTTTTCCTTGACCATGAGAAAAGCTTTACATGCCTTGTGCCCCCTTCTCTGTCACTAACATAGAGACAGTCTCTTTCGTTCCCTGTTGGCAAGAATATTGTGAGGATTAATGACCAGAGAGAAAGCTACTAGGATGTTCGATTCTGTAGACGTTACCACTTACTTTTCATTACAAGTTTGCATTTAGCTTTCCAATTCATATTTGCATGGTGACTGCAACACCATACACTTATTTATTCACGCATGGAAAGTACTGGAAGAAAACCCGTGATGCCGAACGGTGGTTAGACCACAGGGAAAATGCTTCTTTTACTTACTATACTGCTTTCAAATATTATTCTTACAATGCACTTCTGCCAAATTAAAACGTTAGGCAACTTAGCCTTCTTCCTCACTGGGGGATTGTTTCCTGACCGGACTTCTGAGTTTGGCTGTGGGAAGCGGAGAGAGCGTCTCTTCACCTGTGTCACCGTGGCAGAATGCTTGCCGTGTTCCGGGGATCACGCGGTCCACTGTCACGGACGTGGCTTTCATGATCCACTAGGGGACCAAAACTATTTTCAGTCAGAAATCAGAAAGCAGGATTTTTTCAAATATTTTTGAGCAGTGGGACTAGAAAGTCTAATTAGCCTTATGCCCTCTCATTTTCTGACTTGGCCCTCCGCACGTAACATTGCATGGTGACATGCTGGTGATCGGATTTTTTTAAAACCCCACTTTAATAATATTTTATGACTGTGATTTGACCTATTATTTGGGGGATAACTTCACTGAGGCTAGCTATTTGCTGGACTTCTTTAAAAGAGTTTTCTCCAGGGGAACCCACGTGTACAGTTGGTGGGATTGTAAATTGGTGCAGCCACTGTGGAAAACAGTGTGGAGGTTGCTCAAAAATTAAAAATAGAACTACCGCATGACCTGGCAATTTTACTTCTGGGTATTTATCCGAAGATATCGAAAACACTAATTTGAAAAGACATATATGCACCCCTGTGCTCATTGCAGCCTTATTTACAATAGCTAAGATGTAGAAGCAACCTAAGTGTCCTTGGATAGACAAATGGATAAAGAAGAGGTGGTACGTATATACAATGGAATATTACTCAGCTGCAAAAAAAGAATGAAACCTTGCAACAACATGGATGGACCTAGAGGGTATCATGCTAAGTGAGATGAGTCAGACAGAGAAAGACAAATGCCATATGATCTCACCGATAAGTGGAATCTGAAAAACAAACCAGCAAACAAAACAGAAACAGATTCATAAATACAGAGAACAAACTGATGGTCGCCAGATGCGAGAGGTATTGGGGGCTGGGTGAAAAAGGGAAAGATGAAGAAGTACAGATTGGCAGCTACAAAATAGTCATGGGGCATTAAAGTACAGCACAGGGAATATAGTCAGTAATATCGTGATAACTGTGTACGGTGCCAGGCGGGGACTAGACGTATCGGGGGGACCACTTCATAAATTATATAAATGCCTAACCACTATGCCGTGCACCTGAAACTAATATAATACTGTATGTCAACTGTAATTGGAAAAAAAAAGTAGGATTTCAGGATTTAGAAGGTCCGGCCCAGTGAACGTAGAAAACAAAAACAGACAAAAAAAAATCTCTTCTATCTCCTTTCTCTATATCCACGTAGGAGCAGGCTTTGAGGAAGTAGTATTTTTCTTAAAAAGAATTTCGAGCTCCAAGAAATCCCACTGAATAGAATTTTGATGGCTGTGCCCTAAGGATGACATTTTATACAAACGTTTTAATCACATCTGTGTTTTTAAATGTATTTAAAAGTGCCGCATTTACCTATTGCCTGTTTGCATCTGTCTGAATGTCTACTGTTCTCACGGGAAAGGGGTGGATGGCAGAGCTGAACTCACAGCTACCAGACCTCCTCTCTTACCTGAACGCTGAGGTGTGTGGGAAACAATCTCCTGTTTTTCCTTTGGGCTTCCCTGTAGTAAAAAACATATTTAAGTTTAAGGACTATTCCCTCATTTATGCAACACATTTTTAGAGCCTCTGTCCTGTGCCTCGGTGTGTGTGTTTGTGTGTGTGTGTGTGTGTGTGTGCATGGTGTGCACATGTGTGAGCTATGCGTGATGGGCGCACGTGTGCCTGGACAGCAGGAGGGGTTGAGTAGCTCAGTCTGAGCCTCCAGTCTCAGGGGCTGTGGGCATTAGGACCACCTCTTAACTCACAGGAAAGTCATTTTACTTTTCTTCTTTTTGTTTTTCCATTTCTAGTTACGTTTCATTAGTATTGCTGCCTGTCCTTAGCTCTCTGGTTATAAGAAAAAAAAAGTAACTACCGTGTTTGGATTTTGAAAAAGATTTTGAAAAGGCTGCAGCAGAGTCTGTCTTGATTTTGTTTCCTGGACCAGGATTGCTTTTACATACTGTGCTAGATGAAAAGATCCAAGCCCATGTTTCTCTCGGCTCCAGATTCTCTCGTTGGTGATGGTTATTTCTGTTCTGGACCCGCAGGGGCCAATGTGAATGCGGCAAAGCTGCACGAGACAGCCCTTCATCACGCGGCCAAGGTGAAGAACGTGGACCTCATAGAGATGCTCATCGAGTTTGGCGGCAACATCTACGCCCGGGACAACCGGGGGAAGAAGCCCTCTGACTACACGTGGAGCAGCAGCGCCCCCGCCAAGTGCTTCGAGCACTACGAAAGTGAGGCCAGCTCTTCCAGCCGTTTGAATGACGCAGTGCCTTTTAGAATTGCCCGGGAGGCAGTTATGCAAGATACATAGCAGATCATTTAGGAGTAAACACACCATCTCGGACTAAGTCCACGTGAGGCTGAGAATGTAGATGTAACCTTCACCTATGCTTCAGGACACAGAGTACAAACGATCTGGCTAAGGACAAGATTTCTTCTTTGGGTACAAATTTTTAAACGACTTTACATAGAATCAGTCACAAGTCTTTCAACACCTGTCAGTTTTAAAAAGAACCACTTAATCCAACATTTTGCCAGCTCGACCCAACCAAAATCCAGTATGAGCTTGTGGCAAACTCCATATCTGTCAGCTAAACATTTCCTGAACGATGATGGTTTTTTTTTTTCCCAAATAATTTGGGGGACAAAGTAACATGGGAAAATAAATTTCATCAGTCGTTTTAATTTTTTTCTTGCAAAGAACTTTTTTCTTTCGAAAACTTTCAAAAATAGAGAATACTCTCCGGTTAATTCATATTTTTGTCAAACACAGATTATTCTAAAAGGCAAGCCCTCCAGGCCAGGCTCTGTTCTGCAGATGTCCCCGTGCCTCGGCTGCCAGGGACGTCCAGGCGGCTTCCACCTTTGGCCCTGGCTTGCTCTCATTCCTGAGCCGCAGCTTCAGGCTTCCGCTCAGTCCTGAGGTCCTGACGCTCTGCCATCGGGACCCGCATTGCGTCCTCTTTCCGAGCTGTTTTGTGGCGTGCCTCTGTTCTCCTGGGTCCTCTTGCGCCCACCCTGTGGCGCTCAGTCGTGAGAGCAGAGCCTGTGACCTGGAGCGGCAGGAGCTGGCAGCCAGCATGTGCCTGGCACTGACCCTCACCCTGTCCCTCATTTTTCTGGAAGTTTGATAAACAAGCCTACCAGCTGTAGATTACAGCTTTGCCGACACATCCTTGTGCTAGGGTATATCATAGTGGGAGAAAAAAAATCGCAAAAAGCGAAAAGAAACAAAACCCCACAAAAGCGCCCACAAAATGGAACGCCTTTGGATGTCGGTACGATTCCATCGCTCGCTCTCGCCTCCTCAGTCCCTGGCCATCCTTCCAGGGAAGGCGTGCAGGGCCAAGTCCTCCTTCCAGGAAAAGGGAGGCGGAGGCGTTCCCAGCTCCACCTTGGCATTCTTTAAGTTGAAGGATAGTTATCTATGTTCAGCTCTGCTAAGCTAACCTCATGTGCTTCCTGTCCTTTGTTTCCAGAGACACCTCTGACCCTGTCCCAGCTGTGCAGGGTGAGCTTGCGAAAGGCCACCGGCGTCAGAGGGCTGGAGAAAATCGCCAGGTTGGACATCCCTTCCAGGCTCATCGATTACCTCTCCTACAACTGAGCTGCAGGCACAGGAGGCAGGCGCAGGCCGGAGGCTGCTGGCCTGGCCAATCCCAGCGTTGTTTGTCTGAAGCCCTCGATTGCCGCAGATAGGACGACGCTCCCCGGGTCCCCACTGGCCGTCCCGTTTCATCTTCACTGCAGACGCCTGGAGAGTATTTCCAGGGCATCGAGAAGGCCCTGCCTCGGCTTCTGTTGGGGACGTGGCCCCTGTGCTGGCTCTCCTGGAACTCTGCTCTAACTCTGGCATCCCCAGCCGTCCAGTTGTCCTCTTTCTGCCGACCTTCCTCAGAGGGACTCTCGGGAAAGACCCCCTCTGGGAGCCCAGGCGGAGGCCGGGTGGGGCTGGGGGTGCAGGGTGCTGCAGCTGACTTCCGCGCGCCCGCACGGTGTCACCTCATTAATTCAGCACCGGGGCGGCCCTGGGGGTTCAGAGGGTGGAGCCTGTGCCGCAGAGGGCGCCGAGACCCGAGGAAGCCGAGGTCCCGCCACGTGGCCTAGGACAGCTGCGTTGGTGACATCTGCCACCTGGATGCTTTCTCCTGGAGCCGTGGTGGGCACCTTCCCGGGCCCACCTGCCCAGGTGTGCCCAGCACTCAGGGCTGTGTACGGTCGTGTGGGGGAAGACTCAGGCTCTTCGGTCTCCACGAGCAGCACAGCGTTTCGTGGGAAGTTTTCCCTTCGGTTTTAGGTCTCTTAAAAAGTTTATGTCGGGGATGCAAAAAACCTCTAGAAGACATAGAGGCTGTAACAGGTTTTGTTAACGAGCCTTTAAAACAAAAGGCAACGTGAGGACGTGTTAGCACACACTTCCACGAATGTGAATGACTTTCGTGTTTCTATGGTTGCCCAATGAATTGCTTCCCACCCTAAATTTTGCTGACTCCTTGAAGTTCTGAAATTGGTGGAGGGGGTGGCCGGCACCGACCGCTGAGTCATGCGTTTTGCAGACACTCGTGGAACACCGTCTGTGCTTAAGGCATGGTCTCCGCGCCTCGAACCCCATCAGAAGCAGACTCATTACCCAGCGCGGGGAAGGAAAGTTTTGCAATCCGGTCCTATAGCAATAGAAATAAGTAGTTCTGCATGATAAGCCACGAGGTGAAGTATATTCGGACTGCCTTTGTCTGCCTGAGATTCTGTATTGTAATTATAAACAAACAAAAAAGAAGACCGGGAGTTAAACTAGGGGACTTTGCATAATTAGTTCAGGTATATTTGGTTTCTGGGGAAACGGAGAAGGCACCACTCGTGAACGCTGTCAGAGGTCAAGCCCAAAGCCAGTGTCCCCAGAAATGTAGACATCGCCACATGCTCCGAGGTCTGCCTCGGCCACCTCCTCCCAGAGAACAAGCTTAAGTGCTCCGAGGCTGTGCCGAGTGTCTGCACGGCGACTTGGTGGGGCCCAAGGCCTGGTGGACGGTGTCCTGCGGGCTGCACAGGGCTGTCCCACCTCCCTGCCACAGCCGTTGTGACATCACCGCGTGCCGAGCAGGCCCGCCATTCCCGTTTGGCTTCAGTCTCGGGTTCAAGTTCCGGGTAAAGCTGTGTTTCTGCGTGTTTGTTTCTGTGTGTGCTGAGAGCGACGAGGGGACGAGCCCTGGCTCCGCGCTTTCGTCCGTGTGGCGGACCTGCCGTGGCCTCGAGCCGGCGACATTGCCACAAGTGGGCGCTCAGGGTGACGGTCTGGGCCCCACCCTCACTGCTCAATGAAAAGAGTCCGTCCGTGGGTCCGCGTGGCCCTTTTCTCATTGAAGCAGAAATGCGGATGGGCTCCAGCCTGGGTGAGTCCAGCGGGGCCACTGTCATCCTACCCACGTCTTGGAAGGTGACGTGATGGCTCCAAGCCTGGCTCAGATGCCGGTCTTTCTGCCTCTCCTCTCCTAATGCTGAGCTCAGTGCCGCCCTCGTGTGGAGAGGCACTGCCCAGGGGCCCAGATGACAGACTTTAGGGCCTCCTGTCCCTCCCCCAACCCCGGCTTTATGGAGCTGCAATCAACAACCTGCCTGTGCCCTTAAGTACGGCCGTGACCCTGGACAAACTTTCCCGGCTGCAGAAGAAAGATAAAAGTCCAGACTTTGACCATTAAAGAATGTCGATGATCAACGAATGAATGTTACGGATGAGAAATGGGGCCCCTGCTAGCCTCATATATATTTTGAGGCTGAAATTCGGTGATTAAAAGATGCCTCGAAAAGTATAAAGTGCTTCCCATATAATGTAAACGTTACATGGTTATGACTGGACTACAGTTTTATTGGTGTTTGTAGACCTTATAACTGTGCGAACAACTCCCTTCTGACTTTGGGGTACTATTTCAGGAGGAATATATGCAGAAGACCTCTCAGGTGACATTTTAAAACTCAAAGTGCAGCCGACAGGTTTGGAAAAGCCGTTTGCAACAGAGCTAACAAATGCTTGGTAATGTAAATATATAAAGATCTTTTATAAATCATGAAAAAGATTAACAACCCTATAGGGGGAAAAAAAATAGGCAAAGACTGTGGAGAGGAAATTTACAAAAGAGGAAACCTCAGATGTCCCCTGGCAGAAAAGGATGGCCAGTCGTGATCAGAGAAATACAAATTAATGAATATTTAATTAAACAAAATTATATCGCCACATCCTATAGGCTTGACAAACATTAAAAGGTCTGACGGTTTCTTCATGTTGACGGGCAACATGGGCAATGGGAACTCGTAGACTGCTGAGCGGGTATTAATTGATTTGTGTACTTTGTCGAGCTGTTAGATGCTCTCTAGGACCATTAAAAGTGCATAATACATGTGCCCAGTACTTCTGCTTTTCCAAACATACCTTAAACTCAGACGTTTCATAAGGAGAGTGTGGGGAAGTTTAAGGCAGCAATAGTAATAGTAATAGTAATAGTAAAAGACCCCACTGGCAGGGGAGAACTGGAGGGTATATTTGTACAATGCCTGCACTCTATGAAAGTTAAGATGAATTAGAGTTACGTGTTTTAACACTCATAGATCTAAAAATTATAACGGCGGATGAAAAAAAAGTTGCCAACCCATTTATATACGGTATGAATCTATTTGAATAAACTGAACAAAACAGCCCAAGTAAGTATCCGGGGCTAGCGAGGTGTGTAGCAAATGCATAAAATCACAGAACCCACACGCCGGCGTCACGCTGTGCTTACCTCTGGGTGAGGAAGGGACATGTGACTTGGGGACAGGAACAAAGGGAACGTCAATGTTCTGTGACATTTCATTTCTTAGAAACGGATGAGGCAAAGCTGAAGAATGCTGCTGTTTGTTCATATTGGGTGGCGAAAACGTAACATACATGTCGTTCTCCATGTATTTTGGCTTTTTTTTTTCCATGATAAAGATTTAAAGCACAGTCGAGAGACAAAGGGCAGAAATGTCTTTTTCTAAAAGAGGATGTGATCCGTGTGAGAGCTGTAAGCTAAATTCTGTTCGAGAATGCCTTTCGACTTCCCGCTGGCCACAAAGTCATACAAGATCTTGGATTCCAAGCTGTAAGCTAAATTCTGTTCGAGAATGCCTTTCGGCTTCCCGCTGGCCACAAAGTCGTGTTCTGGGATACAAGATCTTAGATTCCGCAATAGGGGCTGACGCTGTTTTTGGACCAACCTCATCTTTGGACGAGGAAACAGGTTGCAGCTCCTTCCTTGGATAGACAGGACTCTACAAGCTCAAGTGTGCTGTGTGCTCATGGGGCCTGCCTGCACCTCATCTGAAGGGAAATGTCGCGTGACGTCCCCTTTCCCGCTCCTGGGCGCTGCCTGCCCTCTGCAGGTGGGGTGAGGGAGGTGCAGGGAAGAAAGGAGTCTCCCAGCAGCCCTTTCTCTGTCATCTCTGGGTCCCGTCTAGTCTCCAGGGAAGGAAATGGAGTCTTCTCCCCTGCTCCTTCCGAGGCTGACGCTGACGCTGGCACAGATCACTCATCAATACTCCTAGATGAGTCTGCACACAGCTTCGAAGTTGTTTGGAACGAAAAGAATGTCTTGCGTGTCCATGTCCTCCCCAGGGCTGCTCGTTAGAACTGCCCTTCGCACTTTCTCTCCAGGGGGCAAAACTCTTTACTCTTAAGCGGTTGAGTTCCTTGATTCATGAAACGACCCTAAGACCGGCTCCCAACACAAAGCCTCCCCGTCGCTCATGTAGCGAGCAGCTGTGTCGTCTTACAGACGTAAGTTGGGGTGGACCACGAGGGCGTAGCAGGCGGTGTTCAGCTTTCCCACCGTCTAGGCAGCACTGTGGCATTTACTGTTCTCCCTGTAATGGCCTGGAAAATACTTCTGGACCCCGGAGTCTTTCTCAGTGTTGGTACCACATGGCATTGACAGCTAGGCCCTAGTTCTGTGGGCATGAAAGTCCTGTGATCTTTGGCAATTTGAATGAAAATATGTCTTAAGTGGGTCCAGTCTAAACAGGGTGCCTCCTAAAAGCTGAGGGTCTCAAAACCATAAAGATTCATGGCAGCTCTCTCTCCCTTGCCCCCCTTACACACATACACACACACACACACACACACACACACACACACACACACACACATAAAACTTTGCTTTCCAGCAGTGAGTCTCTAGGTGTGCGGTTCTTGTGAACCAGAGACTTCAGAGTTGAAAGAGAATTTGCATCTGAACTCTGAGCCAGGATGTACAGTGAGTTTAGTTCTCCGCTTTCTGTGTGATCGACAGGAAAACTGCCATTGATTCTTGGTGTTACCCTGAATCCCGAGGCCTATTCTGCTGTGTTAGAGACAGAGCTTAAGATCAGACAAGAGACAAGAACCTTCACTCATTGCTTGGTCCACTTTATCCATCCATCCACCTGTCTGTCCATCCATCCGTCCGTCCATCCATCCTGTTTTTCTTTCTTTTTTTTTATCCTTTTTCAAATTAGTTACTCTATTTTAGGTTCTCTGCTGGGTACTAAGGAGATATATATATATATAAACACTCCATAAACACAAATCTTGGCCCTGAAAGCTCTCACTGCTCTCAGGGAGCAGACACAGGAGCAAACGCTGCCTCTGAAGCAACAAACGGGAAGGAAGCACTAACTCTGCTCTCGGGAGAGGTGAGCAGAGATGACCTTGACCCTGCTACTCAAGTCTGGGGTTAATAAACACAACTGCATAACATAAAAACCTTGTTTTTATATTCGTGGTGCGATGTTGCTTACAGAGCTTGGTAAGGGCTTGGATTATTGGCACGGAGGAGAATGATGTTTAAACCCGTGCAATTTTGCACGGTGAAGAGTTGACCGTAACCCTTTCTCATGCTTATTTTCCCAAAGAGCTGGAAGTGGCCATTCAAGGCGCACAGGGATTCTGCCCATGGCCCTTGGGAACCCCCACCTTGCAAAACAGGTAAGGGGTGATTCTAAAAAACTGAGATGAACAGAGCCATAGGAAAAAAAATCGTCATAAGCCACGTTCAAAGGTCCATCATTAGTTTTTCTTTTCTTTTGGGAAGTTGGGGGATCCTTTGTTTCTCATAAAAAAGCAAAGAGTGTAAAATTTCATTCAAGAAATATAGCAAGAATATGGCTGCGTTCCATATACTAGCCAGCTGGGAACGGGATGAGAAGGGGAGCCAAGGGCGAGGGTGGAGGTGCCGGGAGAGGGGGTGGGGCTGGCGAATAAGGGGGGAGGGTGTGGGGCCATGCCGGGGTCACCACGTCTGTGGTCTACCCCTGCCTTTTGTGACATCACCTGAGGGCACAGCAGCCAGAGCTCTGTAGGGATGAGAACTTTCCGTTCTGAACAGGCCGCTGCTAGGGCACAGTTTTGGATGAAGGTGGTGCTTGCTGATCAAAGCGATGTTATCTGAAAGGCTGGGTGACACCAAACCCGAAGCCTCACATCTGCGACTGCCCGGCCCAGAGAGGCACACCTGAGAGGCGACGAAGCCTCCGCTGATCACCTGACCTAGCCCACGGACCGACCCCGTGGGGCCCTGAAACAGGGCGGCCCAGTCGCCAGGACTTGATAAAGGCAGGTGACGTTTCTGGGAACGAGGAGACCGTGACCCAAGTCTGAACACGTTCCTGTACGGAAACGAACGTTCCAAGCTCTGAGACCAGCCTACAGCAACATGTCCCTTTGCATTCTGGAAATGTTCGACCGACTGCCCGTGACTGTCGGGCCACTCTGCGAGGGTCTGCCCGGGTCACGAAGAGACGAAACCTGGGGGAAGGCAGCCCGCTGACCAAGGCGATGCCCAGGTAGCTGATGAAACATGACCACTGGGGTGTCTGAGGGCGGCTTCGCAAGAGATTAGCATTTGAATGGTGAACTGAGTAAAGCAGCTGTCAATCTGTCAAGGGCAGGAAGAGAGCAGAGGTGGAGGAAAGGCGTCTGGCTGCTGAGCTGGGACACTCATCTTCTCCTGCCCTCGGCTGGGACTGAGGCCATTGGCTCCCCTGGTTCTCAGGCCTTCAGGTGCGGACTGGACCACACCATTGGCTTCTTTGTTCTCCAGCTTGCCCATGGCAGGTCATGGGACTTCTCAGCCTCTGTAACCGTGAGGCACTCATAATAAATCCTACTCTCCCCACCTGCTCTGTGTGTGCGTGTGTGCGTGTGTGTGTGTGTGCACGTGTGTGTGTGTGTGCATGGGTGTGTCCCCGTCCCCTGGTTGTTTCCCTGGGAACCCTAACACCAGGAGGATGCACTTTACAAATCTGTCATAATTCATGTTTACTGGGTAAACGTGAACCTAGGACCCATCGTTTGCCAAGCAAGGTCATGTAAAATGTCGCATTTATTAAACCGCGTAGCACAGCCTGCCCCCTACCAAGCGGTGTGTTCCGTCAGGGGTCGGGGGGGATGGAGGAGAGTGACTAGGTGGGGTTCCCCGGGGCCCAGGCTCAGCCGGGCCTGAGACGCGGAATCCCACGCCCCGAGTCACCGGGGAAGGTGGCCACGCAGCGTTCCCAGTTTCCGTTTCAGTGCTCCCCAAACCTTCAGGGTGTTTCAGTCAGCTGGGGGGCTCCTCGAAACACAGGTTCCTGGGCCCCCTCCCAGTTTCTGGTAGGTTCAGAATGGGGCCTGAGAACCTGCATTCCTAGTGACTTCCAGGGACTCCGCTGCTGCTGCTGGGCTCTGAGGGACAGCCACCCTTTGAGGACGGCTGCTGTCATCCACTCGGTTCCCTCCTCAGCAGGCTCTCGCGGTTCAGGTCCCAGCCCCAGTTCAATGCCATGTCCTGGAAGTCCAGTGCTCCCGGGAGACATGGGGTCTCCAGATGCCAGGCGCGGCCAGGGCCCACGCCCCGTTGCAGACCCGGATCCAGGCTTCTCGCTGGGCCCCCGGCCTCTAAGGCTGGCCACGTGCTTTGCAGACTTAGCGACAAGGAACACAGCTGTGCTTTTCACTCTGCCAGCCGTGCAGACTCCCGGCGGCCGCCAGCATTCGAATCTCGGGATGTGGACGCCGTAATTGTACGCACTTCGTGCAGACACACGACTGCTGCCGGCCTCAGAGCAGGTGTGAATCATTATTTCCAGAGCGAGCTCCGAGCGCTGAGAGAAATGATTGATGAACGGAAGAGATCCGAGGACAGCAGGTAAAGCTCTACCTCAGCAGCACATGAGGACCTGCCGCTGACTGTCGCCAAGCTGGAACATTTACGCTACTTCCATGTGACCCAAATAATGATGCTAAGAGAGTCCTTGCAAGCTTTACTTTGGGGAGTCAGCCCCCTAGAGCAGCCCCACAATTTCCGTGTTTCTGTGGGTGCTGGGGTGGGGCCGGGAGGGGGGCCTCAGATCCGTGCACTCTGGCCT